AAATTATACTTCCTAATACTCGCTATTTAAACCCGTGTATTTATATATACTAGTTGTTTACGATATTCTCCGATGGTGGCAGCACCGGCGGAGAATGCACCAATCCTATACGAAAATAACGCACAAGTGCGGTGGTAATTCTCACAATTTGTGTCGGAGAATATTCAGATTGTACTGGTTCAAATTTAAACGAATCATTATTACAAATTGTAGCACTACTAACTATATTTTTCAACAGAATTTATACTATTTTAAACTGAGTTGGAGAAGAATAATAACTTAGCTAGGTAATACAACAATAATAATTGTGTATCATGTTTACCAGTGGCGGCTCGTGGTTATTATTGTAGGGAGGTCAATATCTAAAAATATTGCGTCGATTTTTCTAAAGACGCGACCAAATTTAATTGGTTTCTTACAAGGTACTTGTACGTTTGGTTAAAGGAAAATAAATCTAAAAATAAATACAAATTATTTTAAAATGAAACCTACCCTTACATATTTAAACAGGTGGTCTAGTGCCATTTCACTAAAAATCCAGTCAATGTTCTTTACGGTAGGATTTAAAAGACACTTAAATAATAATGTCACAAAAATATAAATACACATGTATATACAGATTTCTAAAAGTTTTATTTCACATTTTTTTTATATTTTAAGTCAATTCTTTCTCTAAACGTTTTTCGAAATTTAACCAATTGTTTTCTTTTAACCGCACGATTTTACAAACTAAATACCATAATGTTGTCTATTTGAAAATATCTATTCCAGAATCAGTCGACGAGAGTTCATCATTTATCCAGAACCAGAAAATTATGAATTATTATATGCATCTCAAACTCTCGGCTACGGCAAAGCTACGGCTACTAAAACTAATTTTTGTTTCTATATTAAAAAATTAAATATTGATTTATATTGACTAAACCAAACATTATACGCGATACGCGATAAACGATACAAAAACCTAGGTTGTTTTATAATTTGAGTTTTTATAAACACCCAAACTGCCCAAACAGCGTAGTTTTTCCAGTGATATGACTGAAATCCCGTAATATATTTATATAGAAATAATGGACTCGATATTTCTTAATTAACTATATTGATTCTCAACTAATAAACAATATTACAAATTACAATAATAACACGCTGGTTTCTAGACAAAGACAAAAACCGCACTTTTTATATCGTCTGTCAGTAAACTACCAAATACAAGTGTATATAAAGTTGCCTACCTACAAATCCTTTTATGAGTGACGCAGTCAATGGTCAATATAAACTATCAAAGATATTTAAACTTAAAACGAGTTTAAATATCTTTGTAAACTATATATTGTTGCGTTTTTTAATAAAACATTACGACTGCGAACGGCAGCTTTTCATCGGAGAGCAGTCGTGGATAAGGTATTTTACTAGAGGGAAAACTAATCAATAACAATAAACAAAAAAATATAGATATTGGGCGCCAGGCATGTACAGAGAAAGAAAACACATTTGTGTATTACTTAAAACTAATAACTATATTTATTCATAATGTTCTTTGCTGGTACATGACATTGTAGAGTTCTAGTAAATATAGTGGTTGTATGTCAAAGAAAGTGGTGTTAAGAATTGTACTAATTATCTATGAAAACAACTATGATAAAATACAAGACATGTAAAGTTAAAGAAAATATATGAAATGTAGCATTACTTTAATTAAGTTGATATATTTTATATGATGTTAAATCGAAGATGTTGCAACCCGTAGATTCTAGAATCTATGTTTGGTTATTCATCTGTTAAAATAGTGCAATAATAATATCTATGAAAGTAATACTATTAGAAGAAGTAATGTAATGAAACCTATGAACTACATCATATTTTCAATACTAAATTGACATGAAGGTTCTTGACGAACTAACCACTAAATATAGTCTGTACGATATTATTCAAGGTGTATGTTATTGTTTAAGACTTAAAATATGTTAAATGTTGAATGTAAACTAAAACTTAAATCTAAACTTAGCTGTTTGTTCTTAAAGCAATCCTGTTTCAAAGGGTAGCAGCGTGAGGTGGGCTCGCATCTCTGTACTCGGCTATCCAATACAACAAAAGGGGCCAGAATGAGGACACCTTGAATTAATACAGCCGTAACTACTGACTAGTTTATAGATGGGAACGAAGCAGCATGGGGCTCAAGCCACATCCACGCTGGGGCGCTCTATACATAAGGTAAACCATCCCTACATGGGACACTCGTCCACAGGACATCCGTACATAGGGCATCCAACTATAGGAAAACGGTACAGGGGCACACTACCCGTACACTGGAACACTACTAGGACCTTGGATAATGCCCGTACCTTGGACCATAACCTTGGAATCAATGCATATATATGGGACACCTGCCCATACCTTGGAAATAGTCCGTACCTTGGAATCAATACACATATATGGGACACCTGCCCATACCTTGGACATAGTCCGTCCATAAGACCCTAAAAATACGAAACTCTTGTTTAAAACCAAACAAGGTCTAATAAACACAATAAACCTACCTCGAATTACTTCCGAGGGCTCAATAATAAACAAAGAAACTGTCCTTTCTTCAATGTAACATTCTGGAGGACAACAACAAAAGTACACCAACGTGTCGGCAAAATACAAATACGAGTTAAGGTGGGCCAATCCAAAACTTTACCCTAAAAATACTCAATAATCTAATAAAGATAATAACTCATCTTTACCTGTAGTCGACTTGACAACGTTAGAACTACGCCAAGCGCCTCAACCAAATTATCCGGCCTGAACGAGACGGAATCGGGTGACGATACGCCAGACATCATATATTATATATCACACATATAACGAACTAAAAACGTTACAATATCTATCGCACCATATATTATATTATTATATTTTCTATCATCATTATATTATTATATTTTCTATACGTAGTATACCTTACCTTGTGGGCGTCACGAGCCGCGGTACTTGATGTTTAATACGTGTAAAACATAGCGGGAACGTAGGACAAAAGGAAATTTTGACCGGCAGTAGAGAAAATGGGTAAAATAAAATGTTTTCAAGAGAAAATTGGATAGATTGGGAATAGTTTTGAATATTTTAGGATGAAAAAAGGTAATTTACAAAAAGTGTAATATAAATAAGTTTTCTAATTTTCTCCTGATTTTTTTGGGGGGGTATTGACCATTTGGCCTGATGGTTAAGCCGCCACTGGATAATTGTATAATAAAACAATAAACAACAAGGGCTTTAAATGCTTAATATAATTTAGAGGGCAAGTAAAACAGGATAAAGATGTGCAAATGTTAAAACAGCAAATAACAATAGTAAATCATTCAATTTAATTCGAATGAATGGCAATAGACTAATTATTAGAATAATAAGGAAGTATTTTGTTAAACAAATTTGAGTGTGATGAAGACGTGCTTTTGTAGCGAATTGTTATCTAACTATCGATAATAATGATTCTTTCTGGTTTGGATTATCCCAAATTCAAATTAATTTAAGTAGAGCGATTCAAGTTTATTTTTCTGCATTATACACACATGGCCAAAATTATTGCAAATATTGTTTAAAAATATACGAAAAGGAATTTAAAGACTCTTTTTTTATACATAGCTTTGATAATCTGTAATAAACATTTTTTTGTTAAAATGGATATGGTATACAATGTTTATCGTTCAGACCCAATATTGTAGTAGTACCCAGACCCAGTATTGTAGTATTGTAGCTTTCTAGTAGCTATTAAAAATGAGTTAGCTCGCCTTGAAGGAGTAAATGTTTCAAGAAAGTCCATAGCAAGAAGACTCCATGACAGAGGATTACATTTAAGGAGGCCTCTGCGTGTTCCGAAGCTTAATTTACAGCACAAAATTACGCGACTACAATGGGCTGAGGAGATGAGAGCAAATGGACCTAATTGGATGGGAATGGAAATTTCGTCATGTTTAGTGATGAAACAAGAATAGGCCTAGTGTCAGACTCGCGACGAACTTTGGTCTGGAGAGCATCTGGAAGACGAGCACGCTTGATTCAGCTCAACCCCGTATCCCGTTTTAAGGGGGAAGCAGCATTATGGTATGGGCAGGTATAATGCACAGAGTTCGAACTCCTCTTCTGGCACAATGACAGGTGCCTCATATCTTAGAGACGTTTTAGTGCCTATTGTGCGTCCATTTCGAGGGGCAGTAGGGGATGAATTTGCTTACATGGACGATAATGCTCCTCCCCATCGCACTTTAGCGGTTCGCGAATTTTGTGAGGAAGAGGGTATAAGAAAACTGTGGTGGCCACCGATGTCTCCAGATATGAATGTGATCGAGCATGCTGGGGACATGCTAAAAGGCCATATTGCCAAAAGAAATGATCACCCCGTACCTTAAATGAATTGAAAATTGCTGCGCGCGAAAAATGGGAAGCCATTCCTAAACATCTTCTGGACAACTGAATTGAGAGCATGCCATGTCGTCTCACAGCTTGCATTGAGGCTCGAGGAGGCAATACAAAAAAATAGATATATTAGTTGTGAGAAATAATTAAAATTGTTTTCAATATTTTCTGTTTAAAATGAAATTTGTTTTTATTGATTATCACTCATTATGAAGTTATAAAGTTATAACAGCCTATAGTTGCACTTAGATCTTTAATTTTATATTAGTTAGTTGTGTAGTAAGCCAAGATGTCCAAAAATATAAAATAAAAAGAATCATATTAGGTCCAAAATAAAATAAAAATATCGTTATATGCAATAATTTGGCCATGTGTGTAGTTCCTTGTCAATTAGATTGCTTAAACCAAGCTGGTTATTTTCATTTTCGGTAGTTCCTGGAACTTTTCTGAATTCACTAACATGCGGAAAGCGAAATGTTTTTTGTTTTCAAAACAAAATGTATTATTTATCAAGGAGGTGAGTTTAGTACGCTTATATAAGGTACCTAAATGTGTATTGATGCCTGTTGTGCATTATATGGCTTCTCAAATCCAATTGCAAATAGTACCTAATACACTTCACTAGTAGAGATACGATTTTTTAAATCTGTAATTGTTTAGTCTTTTTTAATAATAATAATAATTGTTCTAGGAATACATTATGACAGAAAAAAAGGACAAATACCCGTCCACATTTACTATAGATAACTTTAGTTCCACGTAAGTACATTATGAATTATTATTAAATATGCTAATATTATATTTAAAATTAGTAAACCACTTTAAACGCAAATGATATAAATCTTTTAATTGGTGTTATTATAAATGTGCGTCCGCACTTCAAGATTATATACCGGGTGCGTCTCAAAAGTGGCCCACCTTTACAACTTTTTTATTTTTTCAGATAAAAAAACGAGATTTGGTATGTTAGTATAGGACATAAATTAGAATAACTAATGTATTCAATTGTTTTTGGTCACTTCCTGTTTCACCGGAAATGACTCGAACTTTTGATTTTTAAATGGCACCATCGGTATATTTCAACTTTATTCGATAGAAAATGACACTATGAGTAGAAGGACATATCATATGTCAACTTTTGACATTTTTGCTTTAAACGAATTGTATTTTAAATTTCAATCTAGAGTGCCATGGCTGTGTTAAAAACACTAATTTTTAATCAAGGAGCCTTGCAAAAATAGATTTGATCGTCTAATATTTTTCGTGTCTTGTCCTGGCCGGTTAAAAGAGCCCAAATTTTTAATCATCTGTCAATTTTTTCAAATGGAACGAGTCGTTAGCATATTTAGGAAAAGCGTTTTTTTACGTATAATTTGGTACCACACACTTGGTATTTCGAGTCAAATTGTCGTTATGAATCGCATGTTGCAATTTCAAATAAACGATATTCAAAAATGTTAAAAGTTGACATATAGTATGTCATTCTATTCAGAGTGTCATTTTCTATCGAATAAAGTAAAAAATATCGAGGGTTCCATTTAAAAATCAAAAGTTGTAGTCATTTCCGGTGAAACGGAAAGTGACCGAAAACAGTTGAATACGTCAATGACTCCTAATTTATATCATATACTAGCATGCCATATCTTGTTTACTTAACTAAAAAAAAATAAATAAAAAAGTTTTAGGGGTGAGCCACTTTTGGGACGCACCCGGTATATAAAAATATAATCAACTTTTGAATTTTTACGCACTTGATTATTTTCACCTTGTATTTAAAAGTAACTCAGTTGTTCATACGATTTAATTACGAAGAAATTAATTAGGTAGTTGTTTTTTAAGTTGTTTAAAAAACAGTTTTCATCATTTTTAGGGTTCCGTACCCAAAGGGTAAACCGGGAACCCTATTACTAAAGCTGCGTATAAATATGCCGAGACGAGTGCGAGAGACACCCGAGACGAGTCAACCTCAAGCGGATTTGAGGTTGACTCGTCATATTGGGACGGGGTCTGAGCTTCGAGCGGAGCCTATGCCCAGCCGGACGGCGTTGTCTGCGTTTTTTCCGGAGCCTTTGGCGAACCATCAAAAGGAGTGGGGCGTCTATTTAACCAGTGGCGTATACACCGCGGCTCCGCGGAATAATTGCCTCGAGTCTCAAGGGGCTCGGATTCCACATCCCATTTTTATATAAAAATAAATATTCTTTCCTTTATTTGTAATAATGTTAATAATGCATCCTAACTAGAAAGATGCAATTTTGTCTTCTCTAAAATAGTATAGGTAAGTTAGCCAAAGTAGGTAAATCTCATATACAAAGATTTATTAGTGATTTCTTTTATAAAAACATGAAAATTTTATGAAAAATGAATAAACGTAATGAACTTTTCGTCGAGTTATTAACGGCTCAAACGTAAATTATGCGGTATTTCTGCTGAACGGAATTAAAGATGTAAAACAAGCTTCTTTACATAGGATACATAGGATACATATAGGATACATAGAAGATAGGAGAGGCAAATCGAGTGTGTTGAAAAAGGTGGCCATGCTCTCAGAAGTTCCTTACGGTACTCTCAGAAATAAAGGGAATCGACAAAGAAAGGAACGATTCGATATAGAAAAATCCAGAAATTTGAACTATCCAGACTACTAAGAAACTTAATTTATGGCAAATATGAAAATAATAAATTTCCCACCATAGAAATAATTAAAAAAAAACTTTCCGAGCTTTAAAAAAACCCTGTTCAGAAAGCACATCACGGCGAAATTTTAAAAAACTGGGAATTAGATTTAAAATTATATACATAATAATATTTTAAAAATTATTAATAAGCGTTCTGCAATGATGGAAAGCCATAGAATAATAATGTGGCGAATTGTGTGTGTGAATACCTTGAAAAAATATACAACTTTAGAAATGAAGAAATGCAGATACTATATTATTTACAATATATGTTCCAGGTTAGTTATTGGCATTTAAATGTAGATTTTTAAATTAATAATTTAAATCTTAATTACTTAAATTTCTAATTTTTTAAATAAATAAAGTCGAATTAGGTCTTATCTTACAGCGCTTTCAAATGGAACGGAGCGTCCGCGACTTCGAGCAAGTACCATGAGCTTATATGAACAATTTCATCTGGGTCGCGTATGCTCCGTCCGGATGAGCTATCTTGAAAAAACATCCGTGCGGACACTCTGCGCGTACGGTCCGCTCCGGAAGCGCTGTTACTCTATTTAAAAATTTTATAGATATACAAACCACATACAAAATATATTATTGAATAAAATAATTAAAGACTCAAAAAAACGGCAGTGGCAGAAGGCTCCGCCGCCGCCGCTGCCGTGCCGTTATCTTCAGGTATCTCAGTCGGCGTTCTCCAGTTTTTTTTTAATGTAAACAGTCCGAATATAATTTAAATTTATCATGAATTCCTTTAATTTATCTAGCTTGTTTTTTTTACCTATTTTGAAATTAAACAAACATATACAGGGTGTTTCAAAAAACATGTTCCATCTCTCGTGGGAAGTTCCTCACGTAAAAATAAGATTTATTTTTATATCCAACCAATCCAATTCTGCTTTGATTCGTAGCTACAGGGGGTTAAAATAGGGTTCCCAACCGTCCTCTATTCCAGAAACAATCCTCTTTTTGATCCGATTGTCCTCTTTTTCTCTCACGTATTGAAAACTTTGTTACATACCAACTTCAAAATCTAAAAATATTCGTTTATCGCCACAATGCTTTAAAGAATTGTTAATCTGTGTCTTTTATGTAATTTTATGTTTATTTACTGTTAGTTTATGTCTTGAAAAAGTTTTTGTTGACAATGGTTTGCTTTATTTTAATAAGTTTTGAGTATAAATATTTTTGTGTATTTTAAATATTTATCGCATACCGTTTATATAACTTTTGGTAAATTCTCGACATTTGAGCGACGTTTCAAAAAATGTTTCGCCTATGCCTTTTTTTTATCCTCTCGCCCCTATTTTTTATTTTCAAATTTGCCAACCCTAGGTTATGTTTTATCATTTTCTTCCAAGTGCTTTTAGTAATTTGAGATCGTTTGATGACTGATTTAGTTCTGATCCGGGTAGTTTTTTGTATAAAACAGTGCCACCATCGTCGATTTTTTTCGTTAAATGCGAATAAGAAAATATCCTGATTATATTCTGGCCTTATCCCTTATTATTTTTATTTACAAGCGATCTTAAGTTTATAACATATACATATATTTTATTTAATTGTTAACATTAGGGTAGTTTTACCAATTGTGTATGTGTGGAATTCCACTGATATGTGTTTTAAGTTGTTTGTTAAATTTTTAAAATTTTTTGATTGTATTTTGCTCTCTTAACTTTGTAGTGTCCTGAACATGCAAATAAATTTTGCGAAACGTCGACAAATTTAAAACAAAGGACTTCTGTTGATTTCTTTCGATCCTAATCCAATTAAAAAACACAGTATACTTAAATTTATTAATTAATTTTTTAAAATATTGAATGGTATCGAATAATACTTTAATATATTTATCAATATTTTAAAGTATCGATACTTTATATTCAATACAACCGATACCAAAATATCGATACTGCCTCAGTATCGCATAGCCCTATGAGGAATTTTGTGGGTTCGCCAAAGGCTCCACTGACAATGGATAGCCGCGAGACAACGCCGTTCGACTGGGCAGGGACTCTGCTCGAGGCTAAATCGCTCGGCTCGAGGCTATAATATGACGAATTCCGCTTGAGGTTGACTCGTCTCGTCCTCGTCTCGGCATATTAGTATGCCTTTTGGAAAGAATTTGCTATAGCCTCGTTTCATACTCGTTTCGGGTTTGTCTCGTACTTGCCTCGGCATATTTATACGCGGCTTAAGACTTCGTCCGTCGTCCGTCCGTCCGTCACAAAGGTCTATCTTATAAACCGTTATAGCTAGACAGTTGAAATTTTTACAGATAATGTATATATTATGTTGCCGCTATAAGAACAAATATTAAAAACTGAATTAAATAAATGTTTATAAATAAAAAAGTACTTTTACTAGACAATATCTTTTAAGTAAGAATTTTAATTTAACATAGAATCTTTCAAGTCCTCTGTGGCCGCGTGGTTAAAGCGTTAGGACTTTACGCTGCTATGACGTTGGAGCCGTAGTAAGGCAGGTTCGAATCCTAGTCAAGGCGACTTCATTTTAATCATTTTTTTTTAGTTTTTACATATTTATTTTTACTTTTTACATATTTATTATTGATTAATACAATTTTTAGTAATGTGTTTCTTCATTTTTTTAAATTACTTATACGCGCATTCAAAATTTCAGCCAAATCGGAAAAAAAGATTATAATAATATAGTGTCTAATGTTGTATAGATAATGAATGGTACGGAACCCTTCGTGCGCGAGTCCGACTTGCACTTGACCAATTTTTATATTTCCAATGTCAATAAATAAGAAAAACAGAACAGTTATATCAAAGGTCGAGTAGCTATATAGTACCCTTGATTATAAATAACCTAGCTAAGACTATTGTCGTGAGAGGAATTTAAAAGATATTCCTATATTTTCAGAGCCACATTAGCCAACAATGACCAAATCAAAGTTCCTATTGAGAATGGAAACATTCAAAAAATGGACCACAAAGTTTATAATCCCTACGAGCATAGAACTATGGAACACGCTAACAGGTAATATAAAAATAAAAATAATTACTAATAAACTTTAATTAAAACTAGTTAAAATCTAAGCAAATCAAACGAGTTTTTAACAACCAGGAAAAGTCCCTTAGTTTCCCTTAAGTATTTCAGTGTGTATATTAATTTATAAGCGATATACCAATTAAACCTTTAGTTACGTAATCGAGGGCGCGATTTTTAAATTTATTGTTGCCAACTATGGACATATTCGTCGCTGGCCTGACTAACTGAAATTTAAATTTCCCGCTGGGGATTCAGGTGGTAGCTCTGCTGTAAAAACATTTATTTATTTACTTCCAGACATTGTCGTTCGTTTTGACACTTTAGTTTTGTATTACGAGTTTTTAGTTTAAATAAATTGTGTTGTGATATTTTAAGCTTAAAAATATTTACTAGCAGACCTTGCAGTCGAACATTATAGAACCTCTTTTAGTGCGAAGTATACAAGATAGCTTAATAGCCAATGCAAAAAACTCATTGCAACCTTCTTAGAATATTTTGAACGGGAAAGCGGTAGTAATGGCCCTTTATGTCTCTTAATAATCCAGTAAAATTGTATCGCCGTATAGAGAGTGAAAAAAGAAAATTCCGGGCAAACTGATTTTTTCAGAGTTTGTCAGCGACTGTCTTTTGAGTGTAAAATTAACAAAATCGGAAATTTTCCCCTTGCGGTTTTTGAGCAATAGGGGTGGATTTTTTTAAAGCTGTACTACAACATAATAATTAGACGCAAATTGTACATAAGAACATTCTCTATAAGTTCGCCTAATGAGTTTATTATTTCCAGACTTAGCGGCATGAGCCCTTTGGGGTGGTTTTCAAAAAGTTTGTTTTACAGCAAATTGACCCGTATGAAAGTTGTTCATAATCATGGACAAGCAACTTTTCCTCATAAATTTTTTTTTGTAGCTTCATTATTTTTGGAAATATATAGCGTCCAGTTCATGAACAAATTGGGGTAGTTTTCAATGTTACTCTTTTTTCAGCAAATTCACCCTAGGAAACTCGTTCAAAATAAGAGTACATATACCTTTGCCTTATAAACCTTGCCATATACCTTTGCCTTATTGCCTTGAACTGTTTTTGTAACTTGACTATTTTTGGAGATAGCGCCCAGATCATGAACAAGTGGTGGTAGCTTTAAATGTCTTTTTTTTCTCAGGAAATTCACAAGTGCTATTGGAAAATGGATTGTGAAACATGAATTCCATGCTTCGTTTTGGGGAAATAAATACATATCATAGGGAAGTTTGCATGTAATTTTAATATGAACACCTTTAAGTTGGTAAATTTGTAGAACTAAACAAAAATTATGAAACTACCCCAATTTGTTCATGAACTGGACGCTATCTCCAAAAATAATAAAGCTAAAAAAATCACGAGGAAAAGTTGCTTGTCCATTTATTGTGAACAACTTTCATACGGGTCAATTTGCTGTAAAACAAACTTTTTGAAAACCACCCCAAAGGGCTCATGAAACGGCCGCTAAGTCCGGAAATAATAAACTTAAAAAAATCATTAGGCGAACTTATAGAGAATGTTCTTATGTACAATTTGCGTCTAATTATTTTGTTGTAGTACAGTTTAAAAAAAACACCCGTATTGCTCAAAAACCGCAAGGGGAAAATTTCCGATTTTGTTTATTTTACACTCAGAAGACAGTCGCTGACAAACTCTGAAAAAACCAGCTTGCCCGTAATTTTTTTTTCCAATGACAATTTTATTGGATTATAAGTGCTGTTAAGGAGGTGAGTTTTGTTGATGTAAATAATACCTGTTTATATATTCATAATTAATTTATTTTTATTTTCTAAAATATTTTGATTGAAAGCAAATGTGTAAAAGTGGGCGATGCTGTGCTGGTCAAGCTTAATCACGTGACAAAAATAATTGGTTATACTAGGGTACTACATTTCTGGTCTTGGGTGCATATTTTTGTGTGTACGAAGAGTACGGTCAACACGCTTAGCAAAATAAGATGTACTGAATAAAGACAGAAGGCAAAGTATTTTCCCAAACGCATGTAATCTAGCGTCAGATTAAGTGGTCATGGAATAAATAATTCGTATTTTTGCTCTCTCCGACTTACTAGATTGCCATAGCGATTCACTCCTATACATGTAAACGCCGACCCAAGGTTTCGCTTGCCAGCATGGTATAGTGTAAACGCGTCTTTATACCAAGCCATCATAGTTGAAGGTCTTGTTTTAAGAAATTTCAATAAAAACCTTTTTTTATCTATTGCTACTCTAGGCTATGTAAATACACCGATACTACACCGTCTTTTGTTTATTGATCAAGATAAGTGACTTTGTAATTTTGGTTCCTACTTAATACATAATAGTTTTTTTTCCTTCTCAAAAAATAAGGATTTTCGACCTTGCAAGAGTCGTAATTATGTCTCATATAAGTTGTTATTTCATTCTATAATTTTGTTTATAATTTTGTACTTTTCTATACCTTCCTATTTCAGAATAATTCATGTAAGTTCCTACAGAAAATAAGCAGAAAAAACTTGCCCACTATAGACTCAGTCTACTAAAATGTTCTAAATCATTTTTGGCGCGCACATTAGTGGAAAATTTTAGTTTCAAGTTTGATTATTTTGACTGTCTGACTAGACCATGTTATTGTTTTAAATTCGGTTTAACTGAGTAATAGCGGAGATATTAAGACTTAAATTGAAGAAAATAAAAATGCAAATGATGGTTATCTTATACCCAGACTTAGTAAATTGGCCTTCATCTTATTATTGGTTAAATGGACAATTTTGAAGATTGGGACATTTAAGATGGGGTGCTTATATAACAGAGTATAATTAAGTTTTGGTGGAGATATAATCTCGGACTTAATCGAAATGAATTTAATATCCAATAAATTTTGTAGTTTTTTCCATAGCAACTGTTAAAATTGCCTTATATATATCAAAAATAGTACTTTAACCGCAAGGGTAGATTAAATGATACTTTAACAGCGAGGATAGGTTAAAAACTTTATTTCTTCTCGCACGTTTTTTAATTGCTTCCATTTTTGAAAATTTTTGTATTCCTTTTCATAAGTTATTCGGGATTTAAATGGAAGTAGTTTGGATATGGCGTTTGTCGCCTCAGGCTGAATATCTGTTGGTAATTTACTTATTTCGTTTTGAGCCATTCCTGGCTGCAATTCAATCAGCAATTGATACGAAAGAGAATTAAAAAATTGAGTCAATATTTTTTAATTCTCTTAGCTGACAACTAAAGAGACAGCTCTATTTATTTGTCAAATTACATAGAAACCAACGCCAACCCAGCACAATATTTTTTCTACTCGTAATAAATTCCTTGAAATAATAATTTCTGAATATTTTTTAAAACGTAACTGGCTATGGAAAAATATTGCTTATATTATCGACGATAAAATTGCATTATCAGGTGTCCCGACATTAATTCACTCAGCGATTTCATCGCTGCCGAATTATCGTCGGGACACGATATGCAATTTTATCGTCGTATAAAATATCTATTTTTTGCTTAAACCAAAATTAACCGAGATAGGATAGCCTGAAGATAGGGATGATAGTAGAAATTAAAAAAGTTGTTGAAAATTCATATACACATGTATTTAACATTTTTTATTCAATTTGCTTGGAACATTATAAATTTCAATTAAGATTTTTTAAATTCAACCGCGAGAGGGGGTGAAAAATATAAATAAGCTGCTTTTTTAGAACTCACCTTAGAATTTTTATTGTCTACTAGCGTGTACCAGCGACTTCGTTCGCGTCGAATTAATCATTTGTAATGGGGATGGTAAAGCAAAGCAAGAATTTCCATTAACATAATAAACTGGATAAAATTTTCTCACATTTATGTCAGCATGACAAAAACAATATGGCGATATTATTATATACCGAGTGATCGAGAAAAAACGGCGTCAGTGATGGCTATGGAATGAAGATCGCTGTCATTTTTATGTAAATTTATATGGGAAATGTCGGTGATGTTCATTTCCCAGCCAACTGACGCCGTTTTTTTTCGATCATACGGTATATATATATATATATATATATATATATATATATATATATATATATATATATATATATATATATATATATATAGCAGTTAAACGATATATATATATATATATATATATATATACATATATATATATATTATTAGATAGTAGTGTTAGTTCAGCCATATAATGGAGCTTATTATATATATATATAGGGCAGAAAGATAGTTATATATATATATAGCATATATATGTATATATATATATATATATATATATATATAATAGCTTCTGCATATAAAGCGTTTAACGCATTGGGAGTAAGGTACAGCTTGCTATACTAGAGTCGTTCGGTATACAAGGAAGGTAATGTGGCTAGCACTACGCTTCAACCGCCTATTACCTCAGGATTGTGAATCCCAAGTACTCATTTAAGGCTGAGTCGACCTAGGTACCCAAACTATTTTTATTTTAATAAAAATAGTCGGCTGATGAAATGCCGGGTGTGGGAATCGAACCCACACCTTGAGATTGGTAGACGAGAGCCTGTACCTCTACGCCACCGGACACCTTGATATTATTATATAACTTGGTAATATTTGAGGGGTAGTTTCATCTTGTTGGAATATGACTTTCGAAAAATCCGTTTGCCAAAAATAAGGTTTTCACGTCAAGCAGTTTAAGCAGAATCGTGGTTAAGAAATTACCCAACTTTTTGGAACACCCTGTATGTTTTTTTTAAAAAAGTTCAAAATATGTAAAAAACCAAATAAATTATGCTTGTCCAACCGTTTTCCCGAAAGACTAACCGTTTATTAAATAACAAATATTGTAATATTTGAGGGGCGTTTTCACCCTCTTGGAATTTGAGATTCGAGAAACCCCTCCTTATCGAATCTCTACACTCCACAGTCAATCCGTTTGCCTAAAATCAGCTTTAAACGTCAAGCAGAAGTAGAATCGTGATTACTCAATGGTGATATTTTAGGAAACACCTTGTATAAATTTATAAAAAATCTTAAAATATGTAAAACAACAAAATAAAATATACGTGTTTAAGAGTTTTTTCCGAAAAACTCACCTGTTTTTAAATAAAAAACATTTTAATATTTGAGGGATAGTTTCACCCTCTTAGAATTCGAGTTTCGAAAAATCCCTTCTTATCGAAACTCTACACCTTAAAGTCAATCTGTTTTCCAAAAATCAGCTTTTTACGTCAAGCGCTTTAAGCAGGATCGTGATTAATCAATGACCAGATTTTTCGAAACACCCTGTATACATTTTTAAAAAATATTAAAATATGTAAAAAAACAAAATAAAATATACGTGTTTAAGCGTTTTTCCGGAAACTTGACCGTTTTTTAAATAAAAAATATTGTAATATTTGAGGGGTGGTTTCACCCTCTAGGAACTGGAATTTCGAAAAATCCCTTCATATCGAACCTCTACACCCTAGAATCAACCTGTATGCCAAAATTGAGCTTCTTACGTTGAATGATTTGAGCAGGATCGTGATTAATCAGTATGTCAGTCACTTAAGGATTTTATATACAGGGTGGCCCATCGAAAACGTTCCGCAAGGCATAACGGCGAGGGTATTTATTTTTTCAAAAAATCCAAAAACACGTCAATTTTGTTTGTGAGGGGGACAACTTTTGCGGATTATAGTACAAGCCGACCAAGCCAAGGCTTGTAGCGCCAAATCTGAAAGGGCGCCACATTTCCCAGTCAAAAGACAAAGTGCACCTCAGTTATTTACGGCCATTATAGGAAAATTAAAAGAATTACAAATTGATGTAATGGATTGTAGAGGACAAAGTTAACGACAATGCTGCTAACATGTCTGGCTGCTATACAAGCAAAAATTAAAGAAATCAATCCATTGGCGACGTACGTTCCATGTGCAGCCCATTTCACTGAATCTAGTAGGTATATCCTCAGTTGACTTTTGTGTAACTCCTGATTATTTTTGGCGTGAAACGGGAATTATACAACTTTTTTTCGGTATCAACACTAAGATGGTCTTTCCTTGAGTCCAAGTTTTCTATTAAAATTTCAGTCACCCGCTGGAGTGCACGAGCAGATGCTAGTAAAGCTTTATACATCATACCATAAAATATCTGAGGTTTTGCTTATCAATAGCTGAGATGAACTTCAAAAATCTTCGACAAGATCGGAAGCAAAAAAATTTAAGAGATAAATTAATGCGATTTGAAGTTGCAATAATGACTTGTTTTTGGCATAAAATATTGGAAAGATTTAATCAAACAAGCAAAGCTCTTTAAGCAGTTGACATTGATTTATTAAATTAGTGCTTGGATTATATGAATTCTTTACAAGGGTATTTTAACTAATATACGAGAATTTAACTAATACGAGATCAGTATGAATCTTTTCTGACTGAAGCTGCTACTTTATTCTAAAATAGTATTTTCCAATATGATATATCCAGGAAACGAAAAAGAAAAGTACCTTTTAACGAAGCAAAAAGTGACACAGATTTTACAGAGGGAAAAACAAAATTTCCAATAACTGTATTTTTTCCCTTAATAGATTTTATATACAGGGTGGCCCATCGAAAACGTTCCGCAAGGCATAACGGCGAGGGTATTTATTTTTTCAAAAAATCCATAAACACGTCAATTTTGTTTGTGAGGGGGACAACTTTTGCTCCAAAAATGATTGCAAAATATTCAACCCTCTAAGCGGGGGTGTCATCCCCCCAAGTTTTTTTCAAATGGAAAGGGGGGTCAAGGTGGCACCGCAATCGAAGCTTTCTATTCTCTATTTCCCAGCTTCGTTTTTTGAAAATCGCTCGAGTCATTGAGAAAATATGAAGGATTGAAGTTTAAAAAGTTTATTTAAGCATTTATCAGAGTAAATGATAATTAAGGATAAATTCGACCAATTTGCTGTTTTTTCTTATTATTTCTAGATGTTTACGCATTTTTTCACTTGCCACAACGTTGAACGATCAGGTGCGGTAGTTGCTAGATAGCTGTTCTGTGACTTGTACGTTGAAGTTCTTCTCAATATCGTTAAACTGACACACAATAGAATTTCCAAAAATACCAGCCCACACGTTCAATTTCTGAGGGTTTTATGTGTGCACCTCGTGAAAAACCCTGGGGTTGTCCTCAGCCCAGTACCGACCGTTGTGCCGATTAACTACACCGTTCAAAAAGAAAGTACACTCATCCGAAAAACACACATTAAATAGGAAATTATTATCATTCGCCACTCGTTCACCATAGCTTCACAAAATTGTGGGGCAACGATCAAAATCGCTTCGTTGAGTTCTTGTACCAACTGAATTTTTGAACAGGGTGGAACTTGTTTTTTAATATCCTTTGGAAACTTGTACGATTCCACGCCGGTCTCATTCGCTAATTTTCTTGTACTCAGAATACTGTCATTGGCAACTTGGCCCAATACGAATACTCCATAGCTTCATTTACTACAGGATTTTTCCTCTGCCTTTTTATTCATAACGGAACCAGATTCGCAAAAATTTTGCTACTAGCTGGCGAACAATTTTTGCCATAAAGGTGTTTGTCAGGATGGCGTTCATTGAATATCTGCGCAAACCGATTGCAACACATCTAGAAATAATAAGAAAAACAGCAAATTGGTCGAAGGAATTTATCCTTATCATTTACTCTGATAAATGTTTAAAAAACTTTTCAAATTTCAATCCTTCATATTTTCCCAACGACTCGACCGATCTTCAAAAACGAAGCAGGAAAGTATAGAGAATAGAAAGCCCTTTTCATTCCGGTACCCCTTGACCATCCTTTGATTGACCCCCCTCGGATGACACCCCCGCTTAGAGGGTTGAAGATTTTGCAATAATTTTTGGGGCAAAAGTTGTCCCTCTCACAAACAAAATTAACGTGTTTTTGAATTTTCTGAAAAAAAATTACCCTGGCCGTTATGCCTTGCGGAACGTTTTCGATGGGCCACCCTGTATTAGTATAGATCAGTGAGTCACAGTGAGAAATTAAAGAAATTTGACAAGCGATAATTCATAAACTACGAGGTGTAACTACTATATATATTGGCAATATAGTCTCTTGATTAGTAAAAATTAATATTCTTGCTTTATCCACAACGAAATTACAGGGTGCTCATAAAAATTCTTTAGCAAACCGACAAAACGATATTTAACTATACTTTGCATTGTTTCATCTTTTCTGTTAAGTAGTTTATTAATATTTTATTAATTAATATTGATTGTTTTTTCAGTTTCTCCGGAGCGCTTACACATCTGTTAAAAAGTTCTCTTGGCACGGGAATTTTAGCCATTCCACGAGCATTTAGAAACGCTGGTCTTCTAGTTGGTCTATTCGGAACCTTACTCATAGGATTTCTATGTACTCACACCATACATATATTGGTAAGTTCTACATTATACAGGGTGTCCCAGGAATAAGTGCAAGTATTTTAACTGGGAGTATAGTTCAACCCCAGAAATACGCCTATAACGTTTTTTTCTCGAAAAAAAAATTTGAAAATTCGAAATTTTTGAAAAAAAATTTTTTTTTAGTTTTTAGTTAAAAAAACATAATTTCTTGATAATATGGCAATATAGGTAGTAGATTAAATTGACAAGAAAAAAAATCCAGAAAAGATCCAGTGGTTCTCAAAATTTTAGCAAAAAAATATATTTTTTTTTAATTTTTCAAAGTAAAATAACTCCGTTATTTTGGACTTATTTGAAAAACGACAAAGAGAAAATATGTTTCTTTTTTCGAGATCTACAACCCCTTAAAATACTTGCACTTATTTCTGGGACACCCTGTATATACTATAAGAGAGAATTCTATTCTTTTAATTTTTTTTAATCTTATGTCCCCGGATCGTGGTTATAAGAGGAACAATTTTTTATTATTAACATTTTGAGAAAAATGCATTCTTTATAAAAAAAAATGTGTGCACTATGTGCGCATATTCAGAAGCGGATTATAGTACAAGCCGACCAAGCCAAGGCTTGTAGCGCCAAATCTGAAAGGGCGCCACATTTCCCAGTCAAAAGACAAAGTGCACCTCAGTTATTTACGGCCATTATAGGAAAATTAAAAGAATTACAAATTGATGTAATGGATTGTAGAGGACAAAGTTAACGACAATGCTGCTAACATGTCTGGCTGCTATACAAGCAAAAATTAAAGAAATCAATCCATTGGCGACGTACGTTCCATGTGCAGCCCATTCACTGAATCTAGTAGGTATATCCTCAGTTGACTTTTGTGTAACTCCGATTATTTTTTGGCGTGAAACGGGAATTATACAACTTTTTTTCGGTATCAACACTAAGATGGTCTTTCCTTGAGTCCAAGTTTTCTATTAAAAATTTATCAGTCACCCGCTGGAGTGCACGAGCAGATGCTAGTAAAGCTTTATACACGTCATACCATAAAATATCTGAGGTTTTGCTATCAATAGCTGAGGATGAACTTCAAAAATCTTCGACAAGATCGGAAGCAAAAAATTTAAGAGATAAATTAATGCGATTTGAAGTTGCAATAATGACTTGTTTTTGGCATAAAATATTGGAAAGATTTAATCAAACAAGCAAAGCTCTTTAAGCAGTTGACATTGATTTACAATTAGTGCTTGGATTATATGAATCTTTACAAGGGTATTTAACTAATATACGAGAATTTAACTAATACGAGATCAGTATGAATCTTTTCTGACTGAAGCTGCTACTTTATTCTAAAATAGTATTTTCCAATATGATATATCCAGGAAACGAAAAAGAAAAGTACCTTTTAACGAAGCAAAAAGTGACACAGATTTTACAGAGGGAAAAACAAAATTTCCAATAACTGTATTTTTTCCCTTAATAGATAAATTAATAAATGAACTCATAAAAAGGAAAGATGCGTACCAAGAAGTAGAGAAAGAGTTTGGTTTTCTTACCAATCTAGCCTGCTTAAGTGATGAAGATCTTAAGCAAGGTTGCTTGAAATTGACCAATACCTATAAAAATGATCTGGATATAGCTACTGAAAACGAAATCCTCCAAGTTAAACATATTTCGAATCATCCGCTGGACCCAAGAAACTTACTAAAATCACTTAAGAAAGAAAATCTAGCTGGAATATTACCAAACATAACAATAGCATTAAGGCTGTTTATATCCAAGGCAGAACCAATTGATCAGGAGAGAGATCGTTTTGGACTCTTAAGAGGGTTAAGAATTATTTGAGATCCAAGTTAGGTCATTCTAAACTTAGTGACCTTAATGTCCATAGAATCAGATTTACTTAAAAATTTGGACGCAATAGAAATAATACAGGTTTTTGCAGAAAATAAATCCAGAAAAAAATTTTTTTTATAAGATTATTTTGTTTTTTAATACTTATACATAGCTTAGTATTTACGTTATTAGGGTAAGAAAAAGCATGTTTTTTAGATTTTACACGTTTATTTTTTTATATTTATGTTTATCTAGAATAGATAATATCTAAACTCGATCCTTTCTTGTCGTTGAGAAATAAAATGTTTTTTGTTGTTTGAGAATAAAATGTTTTGCACTTTTACTTTTTCATATTAGGGTCATTTGAATAATGAAAAAAAATAGATAGGGGCGCCAAAACATTCCAGGGCTTCGGGCGGTTTCAAGTATTAATACGCCTCTGCGCATATTTGAAGTGAAACTTCTCACTAATAGTTATTACATTGAAGGACATGTTTGAAAAGGTGTAACTTGAAATGTCCAAACAGTAACAAATTTAAACATATAGTTTTTACACGTAAAAAATAGCTTTTTTGAGTGTAACAAATAGTTTTTTACGTGTAGAATGTAGAATGTAGCATGTTTAGGAGGGGAGTTAATCACCGCGATCTTATAGATCTATTGTGTGTTCCCCTTTCTTGAGTTATAACGAGTTATATCTCATCATACAGTCTCAGGGCTTTAACAAAAGCCAGTATCTGAGACGGCTCCTCAGAGGCCAGCTCTCCATCCTCGAGATCAGACGTACCAAAGTTCATGGCACGAATGGTCGTCGTCTCGGCGCACTCAGCGATAAGGTGTTCTGGTATTTCCCCATTTTCCCTACAGAATCTGCATTCGCCGTTGTTTCTCAGCTTTAGCCTACTGAGGTGTTCGTTGAGGAGACAGTGTCCTGTTAGAAACCCCGTGACAATCCGAAGATTGTTTTTACTTAAATCAAGGAAAACCTTTGATTTTTCTCGGTCGTAAGTTCTGAGGAACTTTTTCGAATTTCTTGTCGTTGGAGGACACCCATTCCAAGTTACGGATGTAGTCTTCCAGATTCTTCAGTTCCGCTTTCAGTTGGTACCCATTTGGAAAACAGAACGGTTCTGGTCTAGTTAGTGGAGAGTTATCTCCTTTCCTAGCTAGATCATTTGCTTTTTCACTGCTTTCTATCCCTTGGTGAGCAGGCACCCAGAGTAGGAGGACTTTATTTTCTTTGCCTAATTTCTTGAGCTTCTCTAGGCATTCTTTGACCAACTTCGAATTGATGGTTACTGAGTTGATCGCGCTAAGTGCGGCGTGACTATCGGATAGGATGGCAATTTCCTGTTTCGATAGTTCCTATCTAAGATAAATTGTACGCATCTTTGGATAGCGTAAATTTCTGCCTGAAGGATACTGGGGTAGGTGCCCATAGGTTCGGAGTATTTAGTTTTCAGCCCAAATACTCCTATCCCTGTCCTTGCTTTGGTTTTGGAAGCATCAGTATACCACGTGATGGTATGGTCTTTTATATGCTGAGTAAGCGTTTCTTTCTTCCAATCCTTTTTATTACTCAATTCTACAGTGAGGTGTTTCTCAAAGTTGTAAATTCTTGGTATGTCATCCATTGGGAGTTGGAGAAGTGGAATTTTCTTTTTGAGGGTGTTCCAAGCCCCTGACCTGAAAATTCTCCCAGCACTGTTTCAGTTAATGATCATTCTAATCATTGTCGCATTGGCATAACTACCAACGACAAGGTTGTTAGGTCTAGAATGACCTCCATTGCTGCTGTTGGACATGTTCTCATGGCACCTGTGATGCAGTACATGCCAGTCTCTATACTTTGCACAGGTTTTGCCTTCCTGTACGTTGCTCTAGTTTTGTATACCAAGCAACTGCTCCATAAGTAATCATGGGCTTACTATCATGGTATACATTCAGCGCAAAATGTTAGGGGCGCAGCCCCACCTATTTCCCGCCGGTTTTCTGCATATCATGAGAGCCTTTTTACGTGCAACAAATAGTTTAATCATTTTAGAACAAGCAAATCCTTTTATAAGAATGCTTGAATTTGTCTCAAAATGTTGATATTAAAAAAGTTTTTCCTCTTGTAAAGATGATTCGGGGACCAAGTGAATGTGTGTAATTATTAAAAAAAAACTATAGGAAGTTTTATATACTTCAAAAATAACTCATCATGAATTTAAAAAGTGTTTTTTAAAATTTCCTAGAATGTTCAGATATAATGCGGCATATCCAAGCTATATCTAATGTCTACTATTATTTTATTTTAGATACGCTAAAGGGATAATTGAATTGACCGGTAAATTTTTAGAACATTTAAAATGAAATAATACATTTAACTGAAAAACTACTCGCGGTAATAATTAGATTTTTATGGTTCAAAAATTATGTCAAGGATGCAAACATTCTTTGGTACAGATGAGTTTCAAACGAGATCTAAGTTTAACAAAATAAAATTATATTATTAAATAGTAGAATATAATTAAATTGTTTTATTTGTTTTTTATATTCTAATTTATAATTTAACAGGGTATGTGGAGATATATTTTTAAAATAAATAGGAAAACATTCAATAGAATTATAGTACCTTATTTTTCTAGAAGCTGAAATGAGAATTTTGATATAATATCTTAAGTCATCTCTTTAATAGCAAAATAAAACACTAAATCACCACAATACACCAAAAAACATTTACTTTTTACACTGACGCGTTTCGCTAACCATGTTAGCATCATCAGCAGATTATAAACAGTACAATCTACAAGTTGAGCGTCAATATACTCGAGCACCGAGTGGGCGTGGCAAAATCTAGCCAACCGAGTCAGAGCCCACTTAGCGTAACAGTTAGATTTCCGCCACTAGAGTTGTAGGAACAAAGAACTTGAAGGAATTCGACCGTTGTCTCTGTTCATACTATCTTTACATTTATTAATTCTGATGCTTTCATATGCATCTAATTGCCTGTAATTTGAGACTTGTTTAATTAATTTTTGAGACTTGTTAAAATTAATTAAACAAGTCTCAAATTACAGGCAATTAGATGCATATGAAAGCATCAGAATTAATAAATGTAAAGATAGTATGAACAGAGACAACGGTCCAATTCCTTCAAGTTCTTTGTTCCTACTACTCTAGTGGCGAAAATCTAACTGTTACGCTCA